CAAGCCCCCAATTCTGTGATTGATGCGCGAAACCGCAAAGCGAACCTTGTCGCAACGAGGCGCAAGGTCTCAGGAGATCGTGAAGGTTGAAGTCAAAGGAGAGAGGCGCTCGCACATTTTGGTCCAAGTTGAACGACAAGGTACAGCTAGGTACGGGTCTGAAATCATGTGATGTAGCTGATAAGAGAAAGCAGTGCATAGCTAACTTTCCGCCTTTCCCTTGCCTGCGTTCCCAGGCAACACTGCAACAGTACTGGATGCCCTCGATAATCAATCCAAATCTTTAAAGGGAGCCGGTTAGTAGGCTACTCTTCGAAGGTCTGCTTCATAGGTGCAGCGGCTGTATCCAAGCCAGCTGCCAGACTCATGACCATGGCTTTGACAGGGTGTGCGAGCCTTGAGCACTCCCGTAATATCTTATCCAAGCCAGACCCAAAACCGGAATCCTCATATGATCAGGACTTTGACAGGGTGTGCGAGCCTTGAGCGCTTGAGCACTCCCTTATCGAAGCCAGACCTAAAACCGGAATCCTCATGATCATGACTTTGACAGGATGAACGAGCCTTAAGCGCTTAAGGCTCGTTCATAAGCTTAAGTACTCCCGCAAGACGAAGACCATCTCGCCAATCAATGCTCCCCTCTCCTCGTAGCCAATTTCGGGGCCCTTCGCCAGTTGGCAGCACCGACTCCAGCGATGATCAGCTCCGCTCTTACTTCGACCGCGTAACCAAAGGATGTGATGTGTTCAGAATCCTCTTGGTTGGTAAAGCGGGGTCAGGAAAGTCCACCCTAGTTTCGGAAGTATTCGATTTCGAGTTGGATGATGGTCGCGCAAATGTGCAGCACTTTACGGTCCGTCGGTGCCTCCTTTGTATGCAATTGCACCTTTGAAAAGGATGCAGGTTGGCGATCATGACATCAACCATGAAATAACGTCCCCCAATAACAAATCTCTTTCCCTTCATGATAGCAAGGGAATAGAGAGTGGATCTGCCGAGAATCTCAAGATAATAACAGACTTCATCGAGAATCGCAAAGGCCGACCGTTCTCTGAACAACTTCACGCTATCTGGTGCGACTTTCCACCATCCAACTTATCTCTGTCATTCTGATGACATAGTCAGGTATTGCATCGAAATTCCGACCGATGGCCAACGACCATTT